TGATTTTGGTCAGTATTATTTATTATTATTTTTTACTTATTTCAAAAATTTCATTCAATGCTTCAACTGTGTATTTTATTTTTTTTTTAATTTTATGTTTTCAAAACTGACAACATACGATTAAAGCCGTATTCTCTTTATGCTAAGAAAATCAATGGAATATACTTTTAATAATATTGGCTTAAATTTTGTTATTTTCTTTATTGCTGTATGCGGCGTGTAACTATATAAATAAAACACTCGTGTTTCGGTGTTATGACTTCTTCGAAATTTAAAAAATTGTATTTGTAGTTCTATTTTTGATGCAGTCTCCTGAATAAAATAGCTGTTATTTATTTGTAAAATAAAAAAAAAATATACATATAAAACGCATATTTAAATAATTGTTGACTAAAGTCAAGAAAATTTTGTTGAAAATTTGTTTTTATTAAAGAAATGTTATGAGATCTTTCAATTATTAACAAAAAAAAAAACAATATTACTATTTTACAATAATGATACGAGTTGTCTGAATAAAACAACAACCATACAACAATATGTCTATTTATCCAATGGAAAAAATGATTTGTTTTATAGCAAAGCTATGCAGATCTTTTTATAGTTTTCCATAATTTTATAAGAATATTCATATATTTTGTGTTGTATATCTGCTTTGTGTTGGCTCTTCAATTTTTTCTTTCAATTGTGCTTTGTATGTCGTGTTCGTGCGAAAAATAGTGTCTATCAAAAATTATGTAATTAAAAGTGACTGCCACAGTATTGTAAGAAAATTCCACAGTTTTGAGCATACTCGGTATTAAAATATAATTTTCAGTGAACAATTTGTGTTTTTAAATTAAAAAAAAAAATTAAATACGAGTTTAAAATTCTTAAAAAGTTGGTACAGAAAAATGTTCGCTAAGCATTTTGTAAAAAATATTTCCTCAAATATGCGTGTATACACTCTCCTTTTTTACCGGTAATGGAGACAAAAAACTTTCGTGTAAAAAGCCCAAATTTTATATAAGTTTGAAGAGAGTTCTTTCTATGTTTCTTATATAAATACAGAAGCGAAAAATATATCCAGTTTAAAATCAGAAAACATCTAGTTCAGACTCTTTCTGAGACCGATAATAATGTACAGCTCTCTATTATATATATGTTCATAACGCTAAACTTATATTACCGTGTAAAGTGCGTGCTTGTGCKCTAGAAACTATGTGAGGACGCAAAACCACCACAATCTATAAATTATATTTTAAAACCTCACTTTTTCTTTATTTGAGTATTTTTTTCAGTTTTTTTTTTTTTAAATAAAAGTGTGCTGCTAAAAAAGTTGGTGGATATATTRTATTGTTTTTTAATGAATATATTTGGTTTGAACATTTAGTTAGAATTTACTTCAAATTAAATAATAATATGAGTAATTTAAATACAATTTTGTTAAGTTTTGATAATCGTCCAATCCGGTGACAGATTAAATGCAAAAATATTAAAGAAAAATGTAATTTTCAACAAAATTAGTAAAACATGAACAAAAAATATTCATTATATTAATTTGTATGTATTTTATATGTTAATTTTGTTGAAATTTATTACTATGCCGTAGTGTATTACGCATAGTATTTTAATCTGTCTCTTATACACATCTAGATGTAATTTTGTTTTAAGAATAACAATGTAAAATACAC